AAGAGTGCAAGCCTTGCTTTCTTCTGAACATGTAGTAAGGAAATCAAGAAATACATAGGTAAAATATAGTTCCAGTCCATTAAAAGAAGGCAAGCTGGCATCTGTCAGCAAGATCATATACTTTCCAGACTTTGAAAATAAAAATGAGGGGAGTTATTAAAATGTTTTTTTTCTTGTAACAAACAGTTCTATGAGCAGATTATCTTCTCCTCCTGAACAAAACCAGTGTTCACTAGTATCCCTCAGGGGCTATTTTTATTGCCCTTCTTCCAGCCTAATTGTCTTTCCCTGACGAATGAAAAGCAGTCTTGTAGTTTTGACAAGGTGCAGCAGCTCCAAAGACCCAGCTTTTTCTGAGACATAAGTTAAGAATGCACACTTGTTTTATTTACACAGCAAATGGCTGAATTGCCATCAGTTAACATTCAACTATATAATTCTTGATTTACTGTAAAGAAAGCTGTCAGAGCCCAAAAATACTGATCGTGGTTATAATGCATTTATGTGAAGTGGGTATTTTAAGAATTCCTTCAAGTTTATCTTTATGACCCTGTGCTTGAAACAGAAAACAACTTACTCAAAGTGGCATTCTCTTTGATTAGAGGGGGTTGAACAAGCCAATCATCCAAGTATAGGTATTTATGTACTTCCTAAACTTCTGAAAGTGAACTGCCTGGACTGACTTGCATTTTGTAAACACTTGTGGAGATGCTGAAAGTCCAAGAGACAGCACTTCATAATGTAGCTGAATGCTTCTTAACTTTAAACTGAAGGCACTTTGAATGAGCAACTCTGACAGAAACATGGTAGTTTGAAAACTCCCAACCAGAAGACCCACTCCAGTCATAAGCGAAAGGTAAATAGATACAAACATGCAGAACTTGAATTTCTAAATGTCTCAATTCAACTAAAATATAATATGATACATAAATCTTTTCTTTGACCTCCAAAAACAGATCTCTGAAGAGGGATTAGGAGGTAGCATTGAAGTAGAATCAGATTGCTTAGCCTTCTGAATGACTTCTAGAATACCATAATCCATACCCATTCCACTTCAAACTGCCAAGAAATGAATAAAACTGAAGGCTGAAACAGAGAAGGTCCAGATAAATGACTGGCTTGATTACTCTTGTAGTTGCATATCAAATCTGCTGGAGAACACAAGTTGATGCAGCAACTTTTTAACAGGGCCTATTCTTCAATTTACCATGTTTTTCAGGTACAGTTCTTTGATAATTAAGACCTAGCAACAGTAGCTATGGAACCTGAAGAAAGAGATTATGAAATAGACTGGGATCTCTCAGTTCCTAAAATTTCCGAGACTTCCTGTTAAGTCAATCTGAACAAATCAATATGTAGATCTTCCATATATAACTGTAACCACTCCAACATACCTGGAGATGAGATTCCGCAGCATTATCAGTGATAAAGGTTAACATCTATTTGAGGTTCTAGAGACAACTTGCTTGTCCAACTACCTTTTTTGCTGGTCTTCTACTGTTGCTTTGGACTTGGTAGGAAATTCTGACCAGTGTTAGCCAGATGACTCAAATTCCATCACACATGCTGGATACTTTTAGGTACCAAGCAGAGTTTGTGCCTTCTTTTGTGAAGAAGGAAGGGAGAAGTGAACAGAAGAGAAACCAGTCTGGCAGAACTAAAAGAGGACCTAACAAAAAGTTCAAACAAAATAAAGTTGAGCAATCCAGACCCAAAGGTAAAGACATGAATGCACCAGGATATGTTCCTTGGGATAAAATTCTACAGATAACAGCCCTGGAAAAGGCAGTGGCAAAGACCTTCATTCACAAGGGTCTCACCCATCAACCCTCATTTTTCTATTTGGGCAATATCTCCTCTGTCAAGTAAATTTCCTCCTTTTCTTTAGGACAACTGATAAGCCCCAAATGCCTCAATACAAAAATGACACTCAAACAGAGCAAAAAAAAAACAAACAAAAAAATGCAGTTTTCAACAAGATAATATTTATGGGTTCAGCCCAACATACTTCATAATAACCTGGTATACAAAGTAGACAATTAATATTCTGTAACATTAGTCATTGTGGGATCTAGAAACAGTGTAAGCAAACTTTGTACAAAACCTGAAAACATTCAGTCAAGTATCTCTCCTTTGGGCTCTAGCTCTATAAAGTTG